CCACTTTGTGCCTTCCACATTTAGTGTCCTATGATCATCCATACTTTCTGGCTAAGTGTGGATATATAAGTGTGTACTCATATCAGCAGGAATTGTGCCTCTTGATCCTGCTGCCTCTTCTCTTAGTGCCTGGGATGAAGAACTTCCTGCAGAGGGACTTGTGAATGCTAGGGGAAACTGTCTCAGTTACTTTTTTTCTCATTGCTGAGTACCTGAAGCCCAAAATTAGGGAAGGAAAGGCTTATTTAGCTTACAGATTTTGGAAGTCTCAGTCCACACACAACTGACCCCAAAGACAGGGTAGTGTAGCTGAGGGGCATCCACTGAAAGCCACAAGTGACAAGAGCAAACAGAATAAAAAGGGGGAAAAGCACGCCTCCTTCCCTCCCTTATATTTTATGTCAGCTCCCCATCCCTGGGCGGGTGCAGCACTCACACTGCCGATCCCAGTGCTAGACAATGAACCAATCACAAACACTAGACTCAGCCGCCTCCATGATGGCTTGAGGCTTTGGGGGGACATTTAAACACAAACTGTAACAGTAACAAATGCCAGTGAGGGAAGGGATTCAGAGATCATGGAGTCTGACAACCTCGTAACAAAATTGAGAGGCTAAAGTACAGAGACTTGCTTAAGATCACATAATTAGCTAATACTAGTTTCTTATGATTCTTCAGAAATAGTTTGGAAAAAGAAAAAAAGTAGTATAAGAAATGGAGAATATTTTTACCTTCTCAAAATTACCATATTTAATATTTTACAAATATTCTGCTATTTGAAATTGTTGCCCAGTTATACTCCTTTGATTAAAGTCTACTTAAGAAGCAGGACTTGGGAGAGTGGAGAGAGGAAATAAGGGGATCAAAAACAACCAAGGTATGATATATATATATATATATATATATATATATATATATGTATAGCAGCTCCCCAAAACAAATGTAAATATCATGTATCACAACCCATTAAAAAAGGAAAAGTTAAAATAAAATTAAAAAAGAAGCAAGAGTATCAGTGCTTCTTTAAAGCACCATGAAGTCACATTCTTGGTACTTAGCTGGACTCTTCTCCGCCTCCAGGATCTAGAATGTCAGGGACCCACAGTCTTTGATCACAGCACATCTTTGTCATTCAGGAGGTAAGTTAGTTTTGGGAATGACCAAAAGTCATTTGATCTGGTGAATGAGGCAGGTAATTTAGCTCGAGGCTGGTATTGGAGGTCAAACACAAGGACTACCTATGTAACTTTAAGGTCCTTTCCCTTCTTGTCCTTGTAGGCTGTGCCAACACTGCTTTACATCCTCCATGAAACAGGCAACAATGTCCTGAGGGGGCCATGTGCCAAGAGCCTTGGGTGCTGCATTCCCCACTCCACTGCTATCCTCCCTGGTTTCTCCCTAGGACCAGACTTACTCCTAGGTACACTGATATCTATCTTTGGGAGATATTCTAGGGACACCAGAAATGACTACTTCTCATTCACTTCCTTGCTGATACCATAATACACTATTTGACAAACACTTTTGAAGTGATGAGTTTGAGACAGGCACTATCCAGTGTGCTAGTGAAAATGAGTTATTGACATCTCTCTCAACCCCACCCCGATCTATGGGTAGTCCTCCTGAGCCAGCCACCAATATATTGAAGTCATCCAGTTGGTAGGGATGGTAAGTAAGGTGGATTATATTTCCATGCAGAAGAAATTATGAGCTTAGAAGGACGTGGTGCATGTAAGGTCCATGCGGTCCCATCTGGTGGGAGCATGGGTGTCAAAGGAGGCAGGCAAGATGGGGTAGAAAGTTGGGCAGTGCCTGTAAAGGCTCTTTCTTAGGCAGCTCAGGCTGCCATAACAAAACACTCCAGACCAGTGTGAAGGGTGCAGAATAGCATACATGTATTTCTCACAGTTATGGAGGATGGCAGTCCAGCCAGTAAAATTATCCTCAGGTTTCACTCTGCAAAGCCTCTCCTTGGAGGGCAAAGTTGGGAACTTAACCCTCCATCTGATCTAAACAAGCAGTCTTTATGCACATCTTTTTTATTTCTTTTCCCAGATAACATTTCTCTCTTTTAAAAAATTATTTGTTTATTATTTATCTTTTTATTTTTTGAGACAGGATTTCACTTTGTAGTTCAGGCTTGGCCTCGACTAACTCAGCTTGGCAATCCTGCCTCAGCTTCATGAGTGCTGGGACTATAGGCATGCACCACCATGCCTGGCTTAGATTTCTCTTTAAAACTTTTGGTAAAGAAAAAAGAGGGAGAGGGAAGGAAGGAAGGAAGGAGGGAAGGAAGGATAAAAACCTTGAGGACACTAGGATTGGTTTTCCCTCTGGTAGCAATGTTCCCAGCCTGCTGGTTGCCTATCTTCCCAGGAGTCACATGCACTGTAGTAGTAGTCACCTGCACTGCTATAATGAACTATTGTGGGCTGGTGGCTTAATTAACAGATATTTATTTCTCACACTTCTGGAGGATAGTAGTGCAAATTGTGGGAGGGATTGGTTTCTCATGAGGCTTCTTTCCTTGGCTTGCGAATTAAGGCCTGATGGCTGTGGCCTTACATGACCCTTCCTCTACATGTGTGCATTTCTGGTATCTTTTCCTCCTCTTATGAAAACACCCATCCTACTGGATTAAGACTCATCCTTACTCTTTCTTTAAGCCTGCATTGCCTCCTCAAAAGCCTCATTTCTAAATACAGTCCCACGGGAGTTAGAGCGTCCACATATGAATTCCAGGAGAGCAGGTTTTATCCCACAGCATCTCTTTGCTCCCTGAAATAGGAGTGTCCCACGTAGAAGCTGTCTCTCACATGTCTCTTCCCTGGATTGCATCTGGCACAGCTCTTAGTGACTCAATAGCCCTAGGTGTTGGCTGAGAACAAATGGGCTGCAGAGACCACTTCCCTATGCACACTGAGGTGTGAAATCCGCGAGACCCAGCAACAGCCAGGAAAGTGCTTTGATGATTTACATTAAATGTGACCCAAATTCTAATTCTATGGCAAACTCTAATTCTGTTTCGATGGTTTCCTTCTTCATTAGCTCCAGTTTCTCTAACTCCTTGCTGCCGCCCTCAGGCTTCCTGGCCTCAGCCTAGGTGTGGACGTCCACCTTTATTCTCTGTTCCTGCCACATGCAGCATTTTCATGGGTCACTGAATTTCCTGCCAATTTCAGGGGAGGACAAAGTGGGATCATACCAGCACAGAATAACCTTCTGCCATCTCCTTCTAACTTGTCTCACCCTGCTGTGACTTCAAAGCCCAGATGCCCCACTTATTTGGTCCCTGGGAAATGTCATCCAGTTGTTATGTGTGGCAGATGCTGTCACATGAACTCCTTCCTCCTGCGAGGACAAGGCACTCCATCTTCGTGAGTGTGGCCTCCTGAAGCTCCTATGACAGGGCCCTTCTCTAGACAGCACCTTGAACTTCAGGGAGCTGCTTTACCAACAGGGCATCCAAGACCAGTGTCTTCTTCATGGGAGGTGGGGAGCAAAGGCACAGCTCTCACACTGCTATTAGGGACAATCTGAGAAGCCATCCCAGGTCATTTCTAGTAAGTTTTTGAAAGCCTTTGCTGCAGCTTCTCTCTCTTCTCACTCCTGTCCTTACTTCTCACAGGGGCTGAGCCTGCAAACATTCCCTGATCAAATGGCCGTACTCAAGTCTTTATCTCCAAGACTATCTCTGGAAACATCTCTGAGAAACTGACCCCAGGCTAGCTGCCATTGGGTAGTTAGCCATTAGAGTCTCCATCTACATCATTACCTCCGTTTGATTGACAAAGAAACTAGGCTAGGAAAGGAGCAGGCATGACAGGCCTAATGTCAACATTGCTGTTAGTAACTGAGCAAACTGGAGAGAGGCACGGCCACTTGAGTGTGTGCAACTCCTCAGTAGTTTGGTTTGTTAATTGCCTTATCACATGACATCGTGAAAGCCTGATGGTAAATGTAAGCCAGATGGCCCGAAATATGGAAGGAGACCCCCCCATCTCTCTGTACTCCCTAGTAGGAAACCTGTGCCATCAATGGTCCTTTTACGAACCCTTGTACTCTTTCCTACCAGGAAAGTTTCTCATCTGATTTGGTTAGGGTTCCTTTGGTTGCTAGGAACTAAAACACTTATCATAATTAGCTCAAAAAACTCACGTGATCAAGGGAAAGTCCAATAAATGAACCAGAGTTTAGGAAGCGTTGGAGTCCAGGTGGTTTCTGGAGGTATCTTTCTCTCATTTTCCTTTTAAGAAGCAATATTGTCTGGTAGCTAAAAGCAAGAACTCAAGAGCCGAGGGTTATGGTTTTAGTCTAAAATGTCCTCCCAGAGTCTCATGTGTTCAAAAGCAGGGCTTTGGAAAGTAACTGGATCATGAGGGCTCCAGCTTCAGCAGTGGATTCACCTGCTGAAGAGATTATAACTTGATGGCATTGTTGAAAGATCATAGAACTTAGGGGAAAGGCCCAGCTGAAGGAAGTGGATCTTGGGGGCATGACCTTGGGAGCTGTGTCTGGTTCCCTGCCCCTTCTTCTCTGGATCGTTTCTGTTCTTTGCTCCTTGGCTGCCATAAGGTGTGTACCTTTTCTCTACCATGCTCTTCTGTTATGTTTCTGTCTTGAAGCCAGCCAACAATGGACTGTAGTCTCTGAAACCAGGAGCCAAAATAAATCATCTTGAAGTTGTGACTGTCAGGTACTTGGTCCCAGTGGAAAAATACTATTTGGCTTTTATCATGGCTTTACCATGAGTCATCTTGGATACCACTTGGCCTTGGTTTTTCCATCTGTAAAATAAGACAATCATAGGACCTATATCATAGGCTTGTTATGAGAAATAAACAAGTCATTTATAATGTAAACTTTAGCATGGCATTTGAAATATATTAAGCACCACAGGTCAGTTTTATCTCTAATTCATGGTTAACAGGGAGAAGTAGACCTATTTCTGCCCACTTTTGTCCTTGTATCTGTTGTTCTCTTTTGTAGCCACCGCCTGTGGTCCTCATGGCTCAAGCATGCACATGATCCATTTTATACTCATCGACTTGGTTTTCAGCTCACGGATTCATTTCTGAAAGGCATCTTTTATTTGTGCCTCTTGGTTTGATGTTCCCATAAGGAAGGATCTGATTGTTCTCTATTCATCTTTTTGGGGCCCAATCAGTCAAGAAAAGTCAGTCAACCATTCTCAGACCAAGCACCTGCTGCCACACAAGTCCAATCACCCGAGACTGGGAGAACAGAGATACTGTACACAGTGTGAAATCCATTTTGAGGTAAGACTCTACTCAGAATTTAACTAACTCTTCTTGTGAAGAGTTCTAAAATCCTTGCTCCTTTTGGGGCTGTGACTTCTGACGCTATGATAAAAGAGGCAATTAGCTTCCCCCTGGCTCTTCTCTTGGAACATTTCTTCTTGGAACCCATACAGTGAGGAAGCCTGGACCACAGAGAGGCCATGTAAAACTGTTGTGGCCAACAGCGCCAGTGTCAGCCCTCACCAACTACCAGTGGGCATGTGAGGAGGAAGCCTTCGTGATGACTACTTAGCACTGACCACTGCACTGGAGACCCCATGTGACAGCCACCTACCTGAGCTGGGGTACATTATAGCAGTGGTGAACCTTGACATGCTTATGCTCTTTATTCTTATTTCTCATCTCAAATACAGGCAAACATGACAGCTGCAAAACATATCTGAGAGATGTTTCATCACCCTAGTGGTCTGAGTATAAGGCATGCTGATTGGGTGTCCCACCTTTCTGTCTCCTAGGATGACAGCATATGGCACTAGGACCACACCCTCATCTTCTCTGCTGTCCTTCCCACAGCTGACAGGCTTTCAGGTAATTTATTTGATCTCATGGGGATTTGTAGATCCTGGTCAAGAAAATTATAGATTTTGTGATGGACAGAAGCAACCCCCTCAAAGCTCATCCTATGCAGCATTATCTTTTTGCTTCAGGAGTTTTGCTTCATATATTCTTTTGTAGTGAGAAAAGAAAATAGCAAATCTATCCTGAGGGAGATAAGATGTTCCATGAGGTATAAGGACAAAATGTACACATAAATTGGATTGTTCTTGTTACTGCATCTCGGTAATTCAGCCCAACATAAAGGACAATAGTAAGTGTGGGGTTGGACGAGGAGATTGAAGTTACCTGGAGAAAATGCTTCAGGGAGCTATCTTGCTATTTTTGTGAGCAGGTAGATCTTACAAAGATAAATACAGTAAACCCCAGCAGCGGTTTTCTTAATAAACAAAGGTTGACAAGAACATGCTAATTACTAGTCCTCTTCAACAGAATCACAGAGTATTAGTTGCAAAAGAACCTTCCTGTCTCCTTAAAATCATTTGGCCAGAGAATCGTGTGACATGGACAATCAAGAATGAGCTGAAACTGGAAACTACAAGCCTCCTGACTTCAACCTTATGCCTCTGGGTTCTAAATGTAACCCTATTAAATTGCTGACCATTATTCTGACCATTTTCCATGTCTTAATTTCGGGAGTAAATGGTATTTTGACTGCGTCTCTCACAAGGCAGCAGGATTTTTACCTTGGGGTCAGTGGAACAAATTTGCACTGTTGACATTATTCTAGGAGGACAGGAAACATTATTCACCATGAGATTATGGTTAAGGTGACTGTTCTAAAAATAAAATTTTATGGTGCTATAGAATCCTATAGGTGTCCTAATGGTCATTATGTTTTAGCTATTTATTTGGCATCAGTTTTCAAGGTTAGACTGTGAGGTAGGAATATGGCATTTATATTCACTATTGAGTCCTAGTTAAGTATTCCCTTGAGCTAAGAACCTAATACATACTTATTGAGTGTGTGTGTGCAGATGAGTAGCTGTCACTTATCTGGTTTAAACTATTTCAAATGGCTTTCCATGGTCCACTGCCCTTGAAGATCTGCCACCACCTCATGTCCCATATGACCTGACTTCTGCTTACTGTCTGGGCTTATTATCTTTTCCTTTATTTCCTTACATTATACTCAAGACTTACAGAATCCTTCTAGTTCCCAGAAAAGTATACTAATCTCCACTTTTACTGACTCTGGGCCTTTGTATTTTGTCTCCTCATAAATGTCCTTGATCCCTGTGGGCTGAATTCTTACCCTTCTGTAAGTCACTTAATCCCATCCCCCAACATTTGAGTCTCCCAGTAGCCAAAGCTCCTTGTAACGTACCTGACTTATGGTTCTTTTCAGTGCATTGTAGTACTGGCTTACTTGTTTTTCTTTTACACTAAAACATGACCTTTGAAGAAACCTTTACAATTTAACTAAGAGGTAAAATAATCCTTGAATATTTTTTGAATGAATGAATGAACAAGCAAAGAATACCCACGGGAACCTTGGCATTACAAGGTGGCCCAGAAATCTACTCAGTTGCTTCGCGGAAGTTTTTAATGTCCACCTGGTTTATTCCTTAGGTTTACAAAGCTTCCAGAGCTCTAGATTCAGATTATTCATCTATCATGTACCAGTTTTTCTCTAAGCTGGACTTGGAGAAAATTCTTCAGCATGTTTACTGCTGTAATGTCTAGGAAATATTTATCTTTCTTCCTTGAAAACCCCTGAGTACCCGTGGGTCTGAGTACCTTTAGACTTCATTTGTAAGGTGTTTTGCAAAGCACTTTCATATGCCTGCTCATATGTGGGACAAGCAATGTTCCAGGGACAGATGAAAAAACTCAGGCTCAGCCAGACATGGTAGCACAAGCCCATACAAAATCCAAGTACTTGAGAGACTGAGGCAGGAGCATCCTGCAAGTTTGAGCTCAGCTCGGGTTGCAAAGTAAGCCCAAGGCCAGCCTGAACTGCACAGCGAGACCCTCTCTCAAAAAGACAACAACAAAAAGAAAAACCACTCAGGCTCAGAGAAGATGAGGTACTTGTTCAAAGTCACACAGCTAACAGCAAAACCAGATCTAGGACACAGGTCAGTTCTTTTTCCACAGTGCTATAACCTTATGAATGAACTGCTTCAAACCACACTCTGTGGTTATTTGTCAAGCAAACTACAGAAGTATCTTGAAGTTGGGAGTATTTGGACTACAAATTCATGTACACAGTTAGGGTGCTTGACCTGTGTCTTGAACTGGAAATTCTACCATAGCTTTCATTTATCCTCTTACTCTTAGCAAGCGTGGCACAGAAAGTTCTGGGACTGTGGTTCATCTTTTCTCCTAAGCAGAGGACAGACCCCATCTCAGATTTACGGAGACCCATTCAGACGGATATCTTGCAGTTACAGAAAGATCAAAGTCATTCTCAAACCTCATATAAAGCACAGATTCCATGTTACTTACCATAGTTTTAGGAATTCTTTTCTTCCTTTGTCTTTCCTTCACCATTTACTTAAAAGTGAGCATGCAAAATTGGTTAAGAAAAAACTGGGTTCCTCTTCTAGGAGTTCATCACTGCTGATAGTCATTGGAGCAACCTGTTAGGAATTTCTGGTTACTTGTTGCTCAGCCTAAGGGTGTCCAAAGCTGGATGCACACCCTCTGGACATGATGCAGGACAGAACTGGGGTGGGGGAGGAAAATAGACTTACTTAAGTTTATCTCAGTTGTTTCTTAATTTCTATGTTGTGTATTTATAATATTCCACATGTTAATTCAGTGTTCATACATGCAACAGTACATACATATACATATTTGTATATAGTGTGTCCTCAGTTTTACTAATAGGAATTCCTGATCAAAATGATGAAAACCATGGTCTTAGGGAAAGTAAAGCCCTGAGGCAAGAATTGCACATCTTTTTATATTTCTGTTTTCTGCTGAGAGAGCTAGGAGCTCCTCACGACGGCAATTACTGGGTGTAATCTCTTTGGGCCTGATTGCCCTGAAAGGCACAATGCAGACACTTGCTCCACTCCCCTCCCCATGCCTCACCCCTTCACGAACTCCTTGGACATTTGGATAGAGCCAAGAAGCCAAGATAAAGGAAAGGAAAGGGTGCCTCCTTGCTTCTGCTGGCTCCTGCCCATAGAGATGGCTTTTCCAGAGGTAGCCTAGAGCCTTTCTTCATTCCAATTCTAGCATCCCCCTTTCCGAGCTCCTGCGAAATGGTAGGTCCACTTCCTTTTTCCTTTGCAACACAAACCAGAACAGTGAGAATCAGTCTGAAATCACAAACTCCTAACTCCATGTTCATTCTGAAGTTCAAAGAATCCTACTGACTCTAAATAATACCAATTTGATTGGGAAAGGTGACAAGAGTATGCGAAAGGGCACAGGAGATTCTCTAAGGATACTACCTGAGCACAGAAGCAATTTAAGATTAATCTGGCAGGGAAAGCTGTGTTTTGGAGGAATTCAGTCACAGTCCAGGGACCAAAGCCTCAGGCAGCTGGTCCTCCTGGACACATTTTCTACCTGGAGCATTCCACAGCCTCCCAGGGAGCTGGGCAGACAGCGGTCCTGCCCTGTGAGCTACTTACTCAACTAACCCTATTCCTTCATCTCTGTTGAACATTTCTGCCTGCTTTAGCAAGGCACAAATCAGTTATCACAGACAGCAAAAGTCTAGGTATAGTATCTGGTCATGTATTTCTAATTAAGAAATAATCCCTAATGGCACATAAAAATACTATCACTTTAGAGTATTAGCTCTTTTTTCTCTTAAATTCATTCACCAGAAATTATCTATTTTCACTTGCGTGTTAGTTTTTTGGATACAACAAAGCCTAGTATGGTTGTGGACCACCCCCACCCCCAACATATATACATACATGTACACATACACATACATGTACACGTACACGTACACATACACATACACACATTTCAACCCCTCCTGAATCTTCTGAGGACCTCCTGACTCTTACTTGGTTCAAGATTTTACTCAACAGTATCCATGTTAAAATTAGAGAGGACAAATACGGGTTAAATGTGAACAAGGCCCTCTTACGTGACCATCCCATAGAAAACTGATGCTTTAAGTTACAGGAGGGCTAAAGTCTACTTCCCTGACCTGACTAAGTTTAGGTTGTTATCCGTTTCAGGTCTAGAGCTACTACTTATTTGCAGAGTGAGTTTCAACCTTACCCTGAGGCTGAAGGTTACCAGTTCTCAAATTTACCTGATGATAACTCTGTCCTGGTTACCACAGGTGACTCATTGACCTCCTTAGAAAAAGAATATTTTAGACTGGCTCATTAGGAAATAATCTTGCTGGTTCATTTCTGAAAGTGCCATCTTAGACAGTAGCATTCATCCAAAACGAGAGACGAGAAAAGGATGCTTCAAATCTGTTCCTTTTTATTGGCACCACGCTATCCTACCTTCTGAGTCTCCCAGGAAGACACAGCCACTCTAGACATAGCTCTCTTTCTATTTTGTTAGTGATACAGTTTATCTTTGAGACATGGTCTCATTATGTAGTTAAGACTGGCCTTGAGCTCACTATGTAGCATGGGGCTGGCCTTGAACTTGCAGGAATTCTCCTGCCTCAGCCTACCAAGTGCTGACACTATAGGTATGCGCCACCAGGCCCAGTTTCATTCCTCATATATTTGATTATGTCTTTCACTGGCAGGGTGTTGGGTTCCTTTGCTAATCAAAAACTTTCGTATTGCAATTTTGTAAGGAACATTGTCTGAGTGCCTGTTAGTGTCAGGCACTGAGGGTTTTATCTGTGTCATCTCATTCAATCCTCAATCAATCCTGAAGGAAATGCTATTCTTATCCTCTTTTTGGAGATAACAAAGTTAAATTCATATAGGTTAGGTAACTTTCTGTAAATCAAATAACAAGCAAGTGACACCATCTAGATTTGATTGCTTCTAGATGAGGACTCTCTGGGCCCGATTTCTAGCTATTCTAATGGACTGCCTCTGCTGTGGGATCCTGTGCCTGAGGGAAGGGCTATTTGCTAGCCTCTGGATTGGATGCCCCTAATGCACTATCCCTGTTCAGCTTTCTTAACCAATGGTTAGCTTTGATGAGCCCCAAAGACACTGTTTAGTGAATAATGGTGGCTGAGGTGTTTAGGAGCAAGTACCTAATCCTGGGCGGGAATGGCTGAGGAAAGGCCACTGTGGTCTCCCTGACTGTGAGACACCCATCTCCATAGCCAGATAGCCTTGTTCCGGGCCCTGACCCTTCTTGTGCTGACTTCCTGTGCTCTACAATCTTTAATGCTCACCTGTGACCTCCTGCATCGTTTCTTCCCACTGCAGCTTCTGATTCCTAGGAGAGAGATGCAGGATGAGGTGGTCACTCCAAAGGCCCACACCTTGCCTGCACTTACCTGTGCAGCTAAGTGGTTAGCCCAGCCTGTGGTAGTCAAAGTAGAAACACTGTTGCTTTCCTATTTGTATATAATAAGTAGGGCACAATTCTATGGGCAGTAAGTATAACTGTGCTGAGTTCCACTTCTTTATCTGAAATCCTTAGAAAAAATGTTTTGAATTTTGGGTTTTCTTTTTGTCTTTGGAATACTTATGTA